ACCCCGTGCTGAAGCTGCGTGTTCTGCCTTCACCCTAACTCAGACCTCTTCACAAGCACGTGCTGGGGAAACAATGCCATTCCAAACAGCATCCGTGGGTTTCCCTGGGTATTTCCTAACAGAGCTCGTGTTCCTGGCGGGTCTGCTCACCATAACTGTGGTAGTGGTTTGACACTAACATCCATGCTCCCAAATCCCTTGGCAGCTATAGAGGAGGTTCCCTGTGGTCTCCTGTCTGTTCTGCAGCGGGATACAGCAGCAGCCCATGCTGCTCCACCCAGACCATGGGAGGACAAGGCCACTGGGGCCTCATCCAGGTAAGCAATGGGATGAAATTCTTTTCATTGCTGTTGGCATGGGTATGTATTTACAATTCTGTTTTCTGCTGCTACTTCAGAGTAACATATTATCAGTTATCACCATGATAGCTATTTTTATTCCAGGAACATTGGGCCTCGTTACAAGGTATATATATATACACCCTGAAAACTCAAACAAATGAATATCAGCTAATTTTTCTCTAATTCAGAAAATAAGCTAAATCTTGATAATCTGTTTACTTTTACATGCTTTCTAAGACCATAATGATTTTCTATGCTAAATAATTTTCTGTGAAGATTTTGGTTTGGGAGCTCAGCTTTAACAACAAGCTAACAACAACAAAACCCAGCCAACCTGTAAGGGTAAGCAGTACTTGCAAGATTTTATCAGTTACTTCCAGAAAATGCCCCTTGGTGCCTATTTCACTCTGCTGTTTTAAGTTAATTTGCAAGGCTTTGACAAGGAACAAAGGTTAAATACTTGGAATTTGCACAGGTTGTATGTCATTGCAGAATGCTAAATAAATGTTACAAATAAATGGTAGTATTTCCAAGAAGAAAAAAGGTAGGGCACAGGTGCAGCTGCCCTGAAGACCATTATAAGAAGAAAATTCCTCTGGAGCCAACTGGGAAAGCCGGAGATAGAAATCCAGAGTATTACAGAGGTACTGCTTTTAAGACTGTGTTATTAGGGGACTCCAGGTAGGTATGGAGCTGAGCAGAACTGTTTTACAAACATCTCCTGTTATGTGTTACTCTAAGGAATAATACCTGAAGTACAGGAACCTGCTCTGGTAATACTGGAGTACATTTCAGCAACGTGAGCTGAGGGTTGAGCTTTGGTAGTTTAGGGATATTGGTAATTAAAAGCAGTGAAAATAGATGTAAATCCAGTGGCACAACATGCTACGGAGGTGGGTATTTGTAGTTATAAAACTACAGTCCTGGATGAGCTTATAGCAAATCAGATTAAATTTAAGACTGCTAAATATTGCTATGGGAATTTCTTTCTGTTGATGGGACTCAGATTGTTCTGTTTATGTGTGATTTGGGTTCTGCTGGCTGATTTTATCAACATATGTTAAATACATTTATGCTGGTCATTTTAGCAGCAGTTGGCATGCAAAGCCATCTCCATCAAAAAGGTACATTTCACCTCTTAGCAAGTAAGAAGTGGACAAACTGAAGGAAATAGATCTAGAGCTTGCCCACTGTCATGCAGCAGGAAAACCATTGCAGAATCTCCAAACCCTGACTCTCCTGGCAAATGGGAAGCGCTGACAATGCAAGGTACTGTGGCAAACCTTTCCTCCTCCAGCCTTCCTCAGCCATAAACAACTTTTTTACCAGTTCTGGTCCTCATCCAGCTCTGAGAGTCAGTGACGATAATCTGAGTGTGCCAAGTTTGGCCTCAGCAGATTTTCTTGTGAAATAAAGAACACCGTGATATGCAATTTTCTTCTGAATTCTTTGAATATGTGTCCTGGAATACATGGTTTCTGCTAACAGTTCTGCTATCAGCACTGTTTTCTGCATTTGACTCCCCTTCCCACTTGTATAACTGTGGTATTTTATAGGGAAGTTGTTAACCGGTTATTTTCCATTTTAGTACTCTAGCAAATTGTAGTAGGTTTGAGTTGATATTTCAAAATTAGATTTCTACCTTCACAGCTAATCCTACGAGAAACTAAGCAGCCTTGTAGGAGGTATGAAACCAGTGATGTTTTGGGTGCTCAGCACATTACTGAATAAGGCCTCATTGGAAGGATATCCAGCCAAAGTTGACAAACTTATAAATACAAAGTGCCCCAGTTTCATTCAAAAAGCTACTTGTACACAAACAAACAAAGTCAGAAAAAAAAATAACTTGTTTCTCAAACTATTTTTAAAAATTCTGAGAAGCTAGTAATTTAAAAAAAATTCAGGGAACACTTGAAATAAGTCATGACCACTAAGATTTTGTTTTATATTTTTTTCTTTTACTATGGCTTATACATATTGTGGTTACTTTTTTTGCAATTTATTCAGAACATATTCGTTATAATGCTTCTCTGTACTTTTATCATTAGCCTGCATAGATATTTCAACTACAGAGAAAAGATATCTCATTGTGGTAATAGCGCTCAATTTTGCCTTCTCCTTAATGGTTTTCTTCTTTTGTGTTATTCCCATACATACGTGATTCAAAGCATTTGTGAGATGACCTCACTTTTTTTTTGTTGTTGTTTCATTTTGATCTTGTTTTCCTGGCTGAGAGGATGTGTGTCACTTGTGTTTTGAAATGAACTCTGGTAAATACAGCCGCTTCTTGAAAAGATCACTGCTCCTATTTGAGCATGACTTTGCCATAAATATGCAAGTGGGAAGAAAACTATGAAGACTTGTCGTGTGAGCAACCCACGGGCTCAGTCTTTTCTCCTCATTACTGCACAGTCCTGCTTCTGGATCCTTCCTCGCAAAGCACATGACCTACCTCCCAGCCGTACAGGACACCGAGTGCCAAAGAAGGGTAATTGTATTATAAGACTTTTTAATTCCCCAACTTACTTCAGCTGTTATCAGCAGCTGGTTACTTCAGCTAGCTGATATGCCTCCGTGTCTTGTAAACATTCGGTCTAGTACTGTGCATTACTCATAGTTGGAAAATCACTTTGACTCCTGTAGCATAATTATGTTAATGTCAAATGAGTCACAGGGAAACAGAAAACTTGTATCAGAGCTGCACCTTAGTGCCAGTTTCTGAATGCTCCTGTTGGCATGATAGAAGTAGGTTAGGGGATTTAGGGGAAAAAACAACTTTCATTTAATGAGTGATTTGAAATTATGATAATAATGATTCATAAGGAAGCTGCGCGACAATCAAGTTCAGATTCACTGAAACATAAAATTGGTAAGAGAATAGCCTGCCTAATTATTTATAAGAGCAACAATGAAAAGTACTGAATTTTTAAAGAATTACTTTTCCAGGAAAACTTCACAGATATGTTTCGCACATAAACAGCTTTTCACATTCATTATCTAGTTACAAGGGCAGTCATTTATTTAAATTGACATCTCAATTAGATGACATTTCAGAGTTAAGCCCCTCTGATGTTTCATTAATTTTACCTTTCTTGGATCATAATACAAAAAGCCCGAAGCTCTTCAACAAGCTGAAAGTTCCTGTAACATAACTTGTCCTAACTGAAAGCAGACGAAGGCACGGCAAGAGCAGAATTCATTCCAGAGTTAAAAGACACAGGGACATACATCTGTGAAACACTGACCATCTCAGAGCTAAGATGCAGCACTTTTTCTCAGAAACATAGAGGCAAGTTACTCTGGTATTTGCCTACCAGGATTTTACATGCTCAAACATATATCAATATTCCCACGTGCCAGCCTGATGAATAGGATATACCATCTCAACGTAAACAGAGGCTTTTTTTTTTTTTTTGAGATGGCTGAAACACCATTCTCTGGACACAAGAGTTTTAGTATTCTGACAGATTGCGCTGTGCTATTTAAGAAAAAGGCTCGAACCTAAGCAAAAGGCAAAAGCTGAAATGAAAATTATAACCTGATAATTTAAGTCAGGAAAAAAAAATCACTCAGGGCAATGTAATAAAAATCTCTGTGGATAAGTAACTGCCTTTATCTTAATGTTCTATTTGAGAAGAAGACAAGACTTACATTTCCCTGGGAGCTCCATCTCTCTGAGCATTTCCCTTTCATCTGTTGTCTTCTCATCTCATGCCTTTTCTGACTTCTCTCCACTTACCCTAGAAACTGTTAATAAATTAAATCTCACATGTCCCATAAGAAACCAACTGTTGTTACTAAATTGAGTGGAAATATAAGGTCATGCCATAGGTGACTAAGTACACTCCAGATTTCCCTACGAGCCATGATCTAAATATGATGCCACAGCATCATCTCGACCTTATACTGAGTGAGGGGCTTTATTTCAGAGCACATCCCCGACCCAGAGATAACCTGCTATGGCCAACATCTGCAGTTTGAAACTCTCAGCTCTTGGCTGAGTTAAAATTGTAGTTTTTTATGTCAAACATTTTCATGCCTGATGTATCGGTGGAAAATCTTTACTGTAGTACTTCCTGCTCCTGTGTTTCACATAGAAATATATAGCAAATACATCAAGGACTTGTTACTTTGTGAATTAGCATCATTTTATTAACGATGTGCGTTTGTGGTCAGCCCTAGAGAGGCGGACAGACTCTGTCCATGCGATGCTGCTGCCCTGGGGCAGGACCTGGCATTTCCCTTCCCCCGTGTCCGTGACACTCCCGAGTTCCCAGGCCCCGGGGAACAGCTCTGGGGAACCGGAGCCACAGAACCGTGAGCGGCGATGAAGAAAAGAGCTCAACACACCACCCGGGCGGCAGCATCAGCCGAGGCCGACCGGGGCTGAACCGCCCGGGAGAGTCTGGGCGGGAAGATCCCAGACTTGGGGTCAGACCTGCACCCTGGGAAACTGGGAGCTCTCACCGAGGGGTCATTGTCCCCGCCAGCCCTTCATTCAGGACGGCGCTGCGGGGCTGTGCGGGGTCTGTGCGGGGTCTGTGCGGGGCAGGTCTCGGCCCGGCGCCCCCCCCGGCCGCCCCAGCTGCGCCCGTCCGTCAGTGCCGCCCCCCCGGGCGGGGCCGCCCCGCGCTGCCCCTTTAAGGCAGCGCAGCCCCGCGCGCATTCCAGCGGCCGCGTCACCGTTCCGGGAAGCGGGTGGCGTCATCCCGCCGCCCCGTCATCCCGCGGCGAAAGGGGCGGGCGCTCGGAGACAAAGAAAGAATTAAAAATAGAAGGTGAGGGCGCGGGGAGCGCTGTGACCGGCGGGCGGGGCCGCGGCCCCGTCGGCCGTGACGTCACGGCGGGCGCGCGCCTGCGCGGCCCCGCGGGGCCATTTACGGGCGCTCCCGGGGGGCAGGTGACGTCATGCGGGTGCCGCGTCACGTCACGTGCGCGGGGCTCGGTCCCCGCATCCCCCTTCAAGGAGCGCGGGAATGGGGAACCGGGTCCCGGTCTAGCCCTGACCGCCCTCCGGAGCGGGGAGCCGCGGCTGCGGCGCTGGTTCCTGCCCACAGCCCTGCCTCTGAGTCATGGAAGGGGCAGCAGCTCCGGGTGGATTTATGGCTCACGAAACAGAGAGGAGGGTTCTTTGTGCGACACCTGGATTCCCCTATATTTGGCGTCAGCAGTGGAGCCGGCGGCGATGCTTAGCCCCCGTTTGTGGGGTGCTGTGTGAGAGGATAACTCTGTGTCACACTGAGAGCAAGAGCAAACAGCAAAGCCTGGTGCTCTCGCTGCATGCTGTGTGCTCTCCCAGTAGAGAAAAGCAATGTGTTACCCGGGGGGATAGTTTCTACGCCCACTGGAATGTGACATTCCCCACAATTATTACATAAGTGTCATGTCAAGGATGCCATTGATATTACGATCCTTCTCTTAACTACAGCATGACAGCAGTAGCTTATATCTAGAATCTTAAAAGGATGCTGTTTCATTTCTATTCCAGTTGCCAAGGCCGTCTCTGTCAAGAACAGCCTGAGGATGTTCTGTAGCCTTTGTGGTCATGTACTCTCTCTGTGAAGGACTGGCCTTGTCTCTTGTGGCTTTTTTCCAAGAATCAGATAATCTGAAAGGGTATTGGGCCACATATGCAGACAGTATTTGGTAGATGAGGCTTACACACTTGTTACTGTAACTCTATGTGTTTCAATATAAAGCTGCTGGGTCCTTTTGATCCCTTCTCCATGTGGCTTTTTGTGTGTTTGTGAAATTGTGCATAAAGGTTGGTGACTGTATGTCTGTTGCTTTCTGTAGTCTGTCCAGTCTGGCAGCTTGAATAGATCTTTAGCTTGAGTTGCCATTTTCTCAGCTTGTTTGAGTACAAGGAAAATGTTGTGAGCCATGTGAAACAAGGCTCACATGGCTCACATGAAGCTACATCATCAGCAAGTAGCTTCTGCTACACTAGTCGCTGTGAGCAGGTAACATAGACAAATTCACCAAGAGTTATGCAGTAAACACCAAATAAAGGTTCTTATAAAACACCTCTGAAGTAGCTTGAAATTTCTTGACGGCAAAATGAGCGTGCCAGCTTCTGTCCCCATGTGGCTGTGTCTGCATCAGCATGCGCTTGCTCTTAAGCTTTCATTTTATGTGAAAGGTAAAATTGTTAGACCAAACCTAGACTAAACTAATCTGAACTAATCTGTACTAACCTGAATTAAATCTCAAGTGCGAATATTTTCATTCCACAGTTTAACCAAGTAGTTAATTTGAGATTATTTCCCAGTGATTTTGGACAGGCTTAGCCAAGGTCTTGACTGGAAAATTGAAGGAAGTAGAGATTCAGCCCTTTTTGTGTGGCAATGCACTAGAAAAGGCAGTGAAGTGTTGGCAATCCTTCTTTTTCAGTCTTCCTTTGTGATAAAGCAGCCTATGTTTGCAGAGGTTGCATATCCCATTTAAAGGGCTTTGTTGTGCAGTGTGGTGATGGTGGTGCGCTACAGTGTAAACTTGAGCTAAATAGCGCTGTCCCAGAGCATTCCAAGGGAGGGGGGTGTGATTAGTAAAGGGTGGCTGTGTCTCCTATTAGACTGAGTCATGGAGGAATAGAAGAGAGAAGTGTGCAAGCTTACAAGGAACGCAAGCCTTTCTTCCTTCAAATGCTTTTAAAAAAATGAAATTCCAGAAGCCTGAATCAACGAATTTTGTCTGTTCCTAAAATCAGGATGATAAAGCTGTTCTCTATCAAAAACCTGGATTACTTCATTAGCTTTTGGAAATGTAATAGCTGCTACTTTTCTGTTAAGCTCTTTCTCATTACATGCTACTATGAATACACCTGTTAAACAAAATGGTGTTTGGACCAATATAATTGCTGGAAGTGTAACACAGCAGCCCCAGGATACGTTGTTGGTTCTGGAGATAACACTGCATCTCTTCTGAAGGGGGCATTTGCAAGGCTTACCTCATCATTTAGTCACCTGGATGACTGTATGCTGACAAGGAAACAGGCTTTTGTATGAGCTACCAGAATATCATTGCAAAGCTTACTGTAACTTGAAGAAAAAATCCGTACTGAGTGCACATCTTTGCAGGTGATGTATCCTATACTAGAACTTCCCTGCAAAATAGTTAAATAATCCTCTCGTCCTGGAAAAAGAGGCCTGTGACTTGAAGTGAAGCTTTCCTGGAATTTTCCATTTGCCCTTCGTGGCTTTCAGGTGGTGCCCTGTCAGAAACAATCTTCCTGGAAGTTTATGAGTACTGAGCAGTATCAGACTATGTATGAGTCTTGCATAATAAATGCCCTCTACAGCAGAGCTATGGATTTTCTACTCATTCCCATCCCATAATGTGATACTCTTGTTTTCAATATACTGAATGTCCTCGTGGATGGGATGAACCCAAAATGCTACCAGGCATTGGAATGGGCCTGTCAGCAGCTGGAGAATATTTTCACAAAGCACTCCAATTAAACCAATAGAGTACCTCCAAAACATAAGCCCAGAGCTTAACTTTTTTAACTCAGGTGAATGCCTAAAAACTGTTGTTTCGACAGAAACATGAATTTGACACCTAATTTTGTCATTATTCTTCCTGTCAGCTCTTTGCTTTCACACAGGTAATAATTAACAGCTGTTCTTTAAGTTCCCTTTTATCTGAAAACATCTGGCTTTTTAACATAATAAAGGTGTTTTAATTCTTATGAGACTTATGAAGGTCCATGTACATTTAACAAGTTAGATCTATTGATCTGATGAAAAAAGCGCACCATATATTTTCTATTGCCTTCTATCTCTGGAAACCATTTTCAGGGCAAACTAGAAGGAGTTTCTGGTGGAAGTTGGATGTATGTGTTCCCTGACTCAACAGGGCTCTTTGTTTTCAAGGAATAGAAATAAAGAGTTTCCTTTAATTATAAGCCTGAGGGCAGAGAGAAAGGAGGGGTGATTTCTGTTTCTCAGTATGATGTTTGTGATTTAGTTCTGCCTGGAGGAGTTGCAGTTTTGTTGCTAAATTATAATTGCACCTTTCCTGTGGCTATAGAGGAGATTTGGCAATGTTACACTTCTGATTTGTGGGAGCTCTCCAAAAAGGTAAAGAGGAGTTTCTTCTGTGACTTGAACATGCTACTTTCCTTCACAATCATGAGGATTTCCTTTTGGTATGAACCAGGGCTGAATGTCAAGTCAGTTCTTGCAGTCTGGCTTTTTCGTTCTGGAGAAAACATGATGCATTTGAAATGTATTTGAAATATCATTTTCTCATTAGATCGTTATGTTATGCAAGGTGGAGAATGGCAGTTACCCTTAAAGCTATTTATTACAATTTATTACACTGTGGTTGTGAATCTAATGAGGGAAGATGGGATTCAAGAAGGGACATGATGAAAGTTTTGTAGAAGTGGGCAAAGTTGGGATGATGAAGGTTTATGAGAACATTAATGTTTTAAAAAAGTTTACAGATCCCTCAGCGTGTACAGTTCTTGATCAGGCGTAGACACTAAGTCAGTATCCTGTAGTTTTCTTCATGGAGTCTCATGTTTTTCTAGCAATGCCAAAGTAAAGAATTCATGGCTTTTTGAGAAATGAAGGAGTCACCTTATCTTATTCCTTGGATGATAACAGCAGAATTATCAGTGATCATGATGATGCCTTTTTTCATGTAGAAAAGTGTATTTAAGATGTGAGCAAGAAACTTAGGATATGTGCAGTCTACCACAGGGTGTTTTAGGTAAGTTGTTTAATGCTTTCTGACAAAGACAGATAGTATGTTTTGTGTATCAGAGCAATGTGGTGAGCATAACCTTAAGACTGTTTATCATGCCAGTACCTCAGATAAATAGATATTGCGCATTAAAGGCTTCACCCATTTTTTTGACCTTTTACTACTTTCTGCAGCATCTGTATGAGCTGAAACAATATAGCTATTCATAGACTCTGCTGTAGTCTAATAGTCTCACAAATCTATTTATTCCATTTGTGGCATTTGTTACATGATTGAAAATTTGAATAACTTATCCACAAAGTTGCCTTTTTTATTCCTATTCACAAATCCCCGTAAGAGTTAAAAGCATTCAGCTCTAACAAATTTTTTGATGGTTTACTGTGCATTAATCAAAGTTAATTCATATAGTAAGGCTATCATAGCTTTTTATTTAACAATAAACTTCTTAATAAGTCTCTTAATTTCCAGCTGACATTTTGTCAATTGACCCAGTCCATGCACAAGGTCAGTGCAGGATTGTTACCTGGTAGCATTTATCATGACAGAATAAATGACAGAATTTACAAACTTTTTGTTGTTGCCACCGCTGTTTACCAACAGTGCAACTTGAAATTTTACATAAAATGTGATTCACAAGATTCAGAAATAGATTAAGCCCTATTGCTGCGTTCTCCATTCTTTCCTGTCCTCACTCGCCTCACTCCCCACCCCCAAATCAAAGTTTCCAAGACTGTAAAGTCAAAATGTTTCAGATAAATCTTCTTGGTGCTGCTCAGGCTCTTTGAAACTTTTTTTCAGTTCTGTTTGTTTCTTTAAGAACTTGTCACTTCCTCTGTATCCACTGGGTCTTTTTTTTTGTTTGCTCCAGAGTGATACTTGCCTTTATCTAGGACTGGATATTTAGTGGTCTGGAACTCTGGTGTTCAACTGTTATTAAAAAAATGTGGATAACTTTATTAAGTTCCCAAAGAAACAGCTGTAGTTTACTGTAAATCACAATGGGAAATATATTTCGCAAAGCAGGAACAGTTGTGTAAAGAAGTTTAAAACAAGTTAAAACCTCACT